AGCATAAGGAATCAGTGAGCCCCTATATGTATGTTTTAAATCCTAGAATATTATGGAGAATATGAAGTGAAATGTGATTTAGAAATGCAGTTTTTTTCAGTAGTTTAGGCTGTATTCTGTGAAACAAAATGCACTATTTGTGATGTATTCTATACTGTGAAATTCTACACAATAGTGCATGCATTTTTCAGACAGAGTAAATCTCAAACTGAAGATTCTCACCTGTCTAGGACACTCAAAATCTATTTTTGACCTTATTTATTTATTTATCGATCGAATTTATATATCGCCACTCCCCGAAGGCTCGGTGTGGTTTACAACATACATATGCAATTAGTTAGTTAGTTAGGCGATCCCTCATTTTCCGAGGATGATTGTCTTCCAGTGTTATTGTGGGTCCGTATGTGGCTGTGGAGCCCTATTCTTGCTCTGCATCTTCTTCCGCAGTGAGGGCATCTGTTTCCAGGTGGAAGGCGGTCACGGTCGGGGTTGGCTTGACGCGCCTTCCTCTTGGCATCCTTCTCCCTTTCTCCCTCCATTCGTGCCTCCTCAAATTCTGCAGCACTGCTGGTCACAGCTGACCTCCAGCTGGAGCGCTCAAGGGCCAGGGCTTCCCACTTCTCAGTGTCTCAGTTTTTGAGGTAGGCTTTGAGCCCATCTTTAAATCTTGTTTTCCTGTCCACCAACATTCTGTTTTCTGTTCTTGAGTTTGGAGTAGAGCAACTGCTTTGGGAGATGGTGGTCGGGCATCTGGACAACGTGGCCGGTCCAGCGGAGTTGATGGCGGAGGACCATCGCTTCAATGCTGGTGGTCTTTGCTTCTTCCAGCATGCTGACGTTTGTCCGCCTGTCTTCCCAAGAGATTTGCAGGATTTTCCGGAGGCAGCGCTGATGGAATCATTCCAGGAGTTGCATGTGATGTCTGTAGACAGTCCACGTCTCACAGGCATATAGCAGGGTTGGGAGGACAACAGCTCTATAAACAAGCACCTTGGTATCCCTACGGATGTCCCAGTCCTCAAACACTTTCTGCTTCATTCGGAAAAATGCTGCACTCGCAGAGCTCAGGCGGTGTTGTATTTCGGTGTCGATGTTGACTTTGGTGGAGAGGTGGCTGCCAAGGTAGCGGAAATGATCAACATTTTCTAATGCTACACCATTAAACTGTATCACTGGCATTGGAGAGGGGATGGCTGGTGCAATACATTACATTTAAAAACAAAGAAAAATTTCAATCAACCAGATTCAAATGCCAGCCTAAATAAATAAGTTTTACAAGCTCTACGAAAAGATAGCTCGTGTTTCCGCTGGCAAGGCATTCCACAGGTAAGGAGCCACCACCGTGAATGCTCTACGCCTAGTAGACATCAGGTGAAAGGTCCTAAAATTGGGAACTTCAAGAAGATTCTGATCATCAGAATCAATATATTTTTGAATCTTCATTCCATCCATAGCTACAAATCTCTGCTTTGGTTGGGAGCAACAAATAATGAGTCACAGTCCTGGATATGGTCTTAAAGATTTCATTCCTCTTGAATTCCTCATTACCTACTGTGCCTGCTCCTGCTGCCGGAAAGATCATAATGGGAGTGTTTGTGAATGGTATAATCTGTAATTTTGTTTCATCATGTTGGACAGATAATATCTATAAATGGTTAATGCTCACTCATACATTTATAGTTCTGTTTCCTACCATAGCTAAAAGTTTTATGTCCTTTATTTTAAATACATGATCTGCCATATTTTAATTCACACACACCATCCTTCTCTTAGCAATGTCAACTTTAGCCAGTCACTGAAACTATTCTGCGGTGTGTTCAATCTAGATTTTCATTGTATTGTCGAAGGCTTTCATGGCTGGAATCACTCAGTTCTTGTGGGTTTTTTCAGGCTATATGGCCATGTTCTAGAGGCATTTCTCCTGACGTTTCGCCTGCATCTATGGCAAGCATCCTCAGAGGTAGTGACCTCACTACCTCTGAGGATGCTTGCCATAGATGCAGGCGAAACGTCAGGAGAAATGCCTCTAGAACATGGCCATATAGCCTGAAAAAACCCACAAGAACTAGATTTTCATTATTTATTTCTAAATGTACTATTTCTAGCTCCAGTAATATTTCCTATCTGGCAATCATTCTCTGTGCATCCCTTTTATTATTAATCTAAATGTCACCACATATATAAATAATCTGCTGCTACTAATCCACAATTCCAGCATGAAAACCTTGTCATCTTGTACAATTTATTTTCCTCGGATATATATTTGATTATCCTTTTTAAAAGAGACATAAAACCCAGCTGGGAAGTTAAAATTATCTACATCCTTGGTGAAGCACGCTGACACTTTTATAGATTGAAAAACAGAAAAGAATTAGTTGTACTGTATATATATATATATATATATTAACAGAGCAGGAGATAATGAACATAATCTTGAGTTTATAGCTGGACTCATCCCCAACTGAGCAAGAGTTTGAAGAAACAGGATTGCTTTCCATCCTTCTTTTTTATTGCCTTTGTTCCGATCACCTGAACTAAATCTGGCAGCAGATTTTGAACTGGTACACTTAGGCATGTTAAATTTTGATATATGATCACCTGCAGCTCAGGCTAAATGAAAGGATAGCAACAGGCCCAGAAATTGGACATCAGTTCAAGTGACACCTGTTCTTACAGAGATTATAAGATTAATTTGGATGACATCTATATTTTAATTAAAATTATAAGCATCCCATACATTTTTTCTAATAGTGTAATAATTGGGCCAGAGATTATTTATTTATTTATTTATTTATTTACCTTACTTATATACCGCTGTTCTCAGCCCGAAGGCGACTCACAGCGGTTCACAACAATAAGAGACAGCAGAATTCAATGTTACAGTATAAAAACAGTTACCAACCTAACACATTGCACAATCAATAAACAATAAACAATTAACAATTACTACAATAGCCATTCACTATTGTCTCATCATCAAAAACATGATCCAGATTCGTCATCCATCGATCCATTCCAGTGTTCATTAACCAATCATTGCACTCATTATTCGAACGCCTGCTCAAACAGCCAGGTCTTCACTTTTTTGCGGAATATCATTAGAGATGATGCTAGTCTAATGTCGGTAGGAAGGGCATTCCACAGCCGAGGAGCCACCACCGAGAAGGCCCTATCTCTCGTCCCCACCAGACGTGCTTGAGAAGCAGGCGGGATCAAGAGCAGGGCCTCCCCGGAAGATCTCAAAGTCCTGGTGGGTTCATAGGCAGAGATGCGGTCGGATAGGTAGCTTGGGCCGGAACTGGTACTTATCAGACTGCGATCCACATACATACACTCGCGCGCACACACAAATGTGCACACATGGGGTACTTACCTTCCTTTCTTCTCAGTTGTGTGTTGGTTTAGTGGAGAGTGGGGAGCAAAGTGTTTCAATAAAATCAGGGTTAGGTTATAAATACATCATGATACATCATTTGAGTTCTTTTTTTAAAAGAATTTTTATTATATTTTCCATAATACAATGAAAGAGTGAGAACAATAAAAATGAGAGAAAAGAATAGAATGAAAAAAGCGAGTAGGAGTATATAGAGAGAGAAAAAGAGAGAGAGAGAAAGTGGGGGGGGAAGGAGAGAGAGAAAATAAATAAATAATAAAAAATAAAGTGATTTCCATTCCATCTTCTTGGAAATAATCTTTCTTTCATAAAAAAAGTTTTTTTACTTCTCAAAGAGAAAAATTGTCTCTCGTGTTTATTTTCATTTCTACAAGTTTTCCAAATAGTCATCGAGAAGGTCCCAATTTGTCCTCTTTAAAATATTACCTGTATTTTTCTTCAACAAAAAAGTCAATTCGTCCATATCTTTTATTTCTCTAATTTTCCCTATCCACTCTTCTATTGGTGGAATTAATTCCTGTTTCCATTCTCTTGCAAACACAATCCTGGCGGCTGTCGTAATATATGTAAAAAGTTTTTCTTCTTCTTCATTTAATTGTAAATCCAAATCCATAAATCCTAATAGGTAATATTCTGGTTTTTTTTTCATAAAGCTTCTTTTTAAAATCTTTTGTGTTTCTTCATGTATCTTTGCCCAAAAATTAACTGTCACCTTGCACGTCCACCATATGTGGTAAAAGGATCCAAGTTGGTCCTTACATTTCCAACATTTGTCCGAGACTGTTTTATACATTTTAGCTAACTGTTTTGGTGTGGTGTACCATCTGTGAAACATTTTTATCCAATTTTCTTTCAAGTCTGTTGCATAAGTACATTTTAGTTTTTTGTTCCACATTTGCTCCCACTCTCTCATTTGGATTGGTCGTCTTAAATTTTGAGCTCATTTTTATCATACACTCTTTTGTCAGAATTATTGAAGGTATGCATGTATGGTTTTTCAATGTGCTTCTATATTATTAAGAATGGTGATCATATGTATTCAAGATGGATTCTGTTATGTTCAATTATGTGTTGGAATTGTTGTTGTAAGAGACAGAAAGTACAGAGAGAAGAGACCTTGACAGAAGTTAGATAACAAGTTTCTCTTCTGGGAAGAAAAAGGGAGGTTCCAGCTTACAGCCAGAGAGCCTGATAAGCAGATGTTCAGAAAACTGTTTTGTGCTGTGCTTTGTAGTTCCTGATTTTGCTCACTTAGATGTAGACGTGTGTGAATGTACTGAGTAAACTTTATGTTATTTTAAAACTGGAAAACTGCAGAGTCCTGGAATTTTGGAGTCCTGTGTCTGTTTGATCTAGCACCTCTTCCACTGCGCATAGCACCCCAGATTTTTACTCTGACATCTTTAACCTGTTCTTTTTTGGTCAGCCAGTTAAGCAATATATTATAGATATTGGATATTATTTTCTTTTCCATTTTTAATATCCTATCCCATCATTTGAGTTCTTCTAGAAAACATTATTAACTCAGGAGTAATCTTAGTCCGCAACATATTCTTGTCACCAGTAAGTCTATTATGTAAACAGCTATGTATGTTCTTCTTTTCAGGTTGCAAATTTACTTAGACTCTTCCAGATTCCTCAGATAAGCTATGCCTCTACCAGTGCTAAGCTGAGTGACAAGTCTCGGTATGACTATTTTGCACGGACCGTACCACCCGACTTCTATCAAGCAAAAGCAATGGCTGAGATCCTGAGGTTCTTTAATTGGACCTATGTGTCAACAGTTGCCTCAGAAGGAGACTATGGAGAAACGGGAATTGAAGCCTTTGAACAAGAGGCTCGCCTCCGAAACATATGCATTGCAACGTCTGAGAAAGTTGGTCGCTCCAATATTCGAAAATCTTACGACAGTGTTATCAGAGAACTACTCCAGAAACCCAATGCAAAAATTGTTGTGCTCTTCATGCGCAGTGATGACTCTCGGGAACTTATCGCTGCAGCCAACCGGTTTAATGTTTCATTTACTTGGGTTGCCAGTGATGGGTGGGGGGCCCAAGAGAGTGTTGTGAAGGGCAATGAGCATGTGGCATATGGTGCCATAACTCTAGAGCTTGCTTCTCACCCAGTGAAAGAGTTTGATCGATATTTCCAAAGCCTTACCCCTGAGACTAACCATCGTAACCCTTGGTTCACGGATTTTTGGGAGCAGAAATTTCAGTGTACCCTTCCAACCAGAAAATCCCACAGAAAACTTTGTGACAAAGGTTTATCTATTAACAGTTCCAACTATGAACAAGAGTCAAAGATCATGTTCGTTGTGAATGCAGTTTATGCAATGGCTCATGCCTTGCACAAAATGCAGCGGACAATGTGCCCAAATACTACTAAACTCTGTGATGCCATGAAACATTTGGATGGCAAGAAGCTCTACAAAGACTACCTACTGAAAGTCAACTTTACAGGTAAAGCTATCATGATTTTCTTTGAATGCCTGTCATGTAAAAATATTGTTTCAATGAGAACGCCCATTTCACATTCTTTGAACCTGAGAGGTTAGCGGGGGGGGGGGGTGAGGGAAAGCTAGATGGTAAGAGAGTAGCAGAAAAGATAGAAGTTGGAGGTAGATGTATTTGAGGTTCAACTAAACATTGTCTAAGCTGTATTTTGATTAACTGTTTTTTCCTCCCACAATGCAAGTTTCTCAGAAGTACATCAAGAAAAAATGTAATCCAAAAGAATATTTTTGCAAGTTCCACTATTTCTAATAATAAATAAATAAATAATTATCAATACGCCGATGACATTCAGCTGGTCCTGAAGATTTCGTATGATATTGTTTCTAGCACCCACTTTTTGCTTGATGTTCAGGCAGTGCTTCTTGTAGGTAAGAGCACGGTCCAGAGTGACTCCCAGGTATTTGGGTGCGCTGCAATGCTCCAGTGGGATTCCTTCCCAGGTGATCTCAGAGCTCGGGATGCTTCTCTGTTCTTGAGATGAAAGGCACATGTCTGTGTTTTAGATGGGTTAGGGATCAGCTGGTTTTCCCTGTAATAGGCAGTAAGAGCACCTAGAGCTTCGGAGAGCTTCTGTTCTACCATCTCAAAGCTCCCTGCTTGAGCAGTAATGGCTTTGTAGCTTAGCATACTCTCTAGTTGTCCCAATTTGGTAAGGACATCCTGATTAATCCTCTATTATACTATTTTTCAGCTGCTTTTAAAGTGCTCCAGTTTTTCTCTGTTCCTCTAACATTTTCTGTTTCTTTTTTTTTGTATGGTTTTTATTGAACTTTTTGCACATCAACATAGGGAAAGAGGGAGAACAATAACAAAGAAGATAGAAAAGTAGGAAACCCACATACCCTCCCCAGAAAGAAAAAAGAGAAAAACGAGAAAAAAGAAAAAAAAGGGGGCCAGAACACAAAAAAGGGCCCAAAACAAAAGAAAAACCTAAACTATTCTAAAATGACTTCCACTCCAGTCTCAGGATCTTCTCTCATTTCTTCTAAAACTCATTTATATTTTCTTAGCCTCTAGTATCTTTCTATATTTTCTTCTCATAGTCATAGAAAAAAGGTCCAGTCTGTCCTCTTTAACGGTTTTCCAGTATTTTTCCTCAACAAAAAAGTTAATTCGTCCATATCTCTTATTTCTATAACCTTTTCCCTCCATTCGTCAATAATCGGAATCTGTTCATTTTTCCAATGTTTGGCAAAAATAATCCTTGCTGCTGTGGTAAAATATGTAAATAATTTATCTTCATTCTCATCCAATTTTAAATCTGAGTCCGTAAAACCTAATAGATAATACTCCGGCTTCTTTTTGAACTTTCTCTTAAATATCTTTTGTAATTCTTCATGTATCAATGACCAAAACTTAAGTGTTTCTTTGCATGTCCACCACATGTGGTAAAATGTACCTGATTGTTCACCGCACTTCCAACATTTATCTGAAACATTTTTGTACATATGGCTTAATTTGTTTGGGTTTTCCAGTGTTTTTCCTCAGCAAAAAAGTTAATTCATCCATATCTCTTATTTCTATAACCTTTTCCCTCCATTCGTCAATAATTGGAATCTGTTCATTTTTCCAATGTTTGGCAAAAATAATCCTTGCTGCTGTGGTAAAGTATGTAAATAATTTGTCTTCATTCTCATCAAATTTTAAATCTGAGTCTGTAAAACCTAATAGATAATACTCCGGCTTCTTTTTAAACTTTCTCTTAAATATCTTTTGTAATTCTTCATGTATCGATGACCAAAACTTAGATGTTTCTTTGCATGTCCACCACATGTGGTAAAATGTGCCTGGTTGTTCACCACACTTCCAACATTTATCTGAAACATTTTTGTACATATGGCTTAATTTGTTTGGGGTCAGAAACCATCTAAAAAACATTTTGTACCAATTTTCCTTCAAGTCCATCGCATAAGTGTATCTCAACTTTTTATTCCATATTTGTTCCCATTCTCTAAATTGAATGGGCCTTCTCAAATTTTCTGCCCATTTAATCATACATGTTTTCACCTGCTCAGTTTCCGTAAGCCATTGTACCAGTTTATTATAGACTATTTCTTTCCAGTTTTTAATACTTTGTCCCATGTGTTTTCTTCCCAGTCAAAACCAATTTTTTTATCTTCTTTAAAATATTCTTTAATTTGTATATAATGTAACCAGGTTATATTGCCAAAAGAACCCTTAAGTTGTTCAAAAGATTTAATCTCCTCTTTCCCTTTAAGCAGGATGTCCTTATATCTCGGCCATGCCCTCCACCCTAACAGTCTCCTTTGGTGGGCCTCCATTGCCGAGACCCATAATGGTGTAGTTTTATAGAAGAGGGCTTTGTATCTCAACCATGTCCTTAGTAGGGAGGCTCGCACAAAATGATTTCCAAAGTTTTTTTCCTTAGTTTCTCTATTGTACCAAACATATGCATGCCAGCCTACTCTCAAATCGTGGCCTTCTAAATTTAAACATTTTTCCTTATCTAGAGTCATCCAATCTCTTATCCATGACAGGGTGCATGCTTCGTGATATGTTTTAAAGTCAGGAAGTCCCAGACCTCCTCTTGTTTTTTTGTCAATTAAATTTATATAATTTATTCTTGGTCTTTTCCCTTTCCAAATGAATTTTAATATTTCTTTCTTCCATTTTTTAAACAGGGTCTGATTTCTTATTACCGGTATATTTTGAAACAGAAATATAAGTTTTGGTAGAACATTCATTTTTATTAGAGATATTCGACCCAGAAGTGATAGGTTTAAATAACTCCATTTTTGTAAATCTTTCTGAATTTCCTTCCAAACAGTTTCGTAATTATTTTTCAGTAGTTGACCATTTCTCGCTGTGATCCAGACTCCTAGATATTTAATTTTTTTCACACTCTCTATCCCCAGTTGTTCTTGAATCTTTCTTTGTTTCTCCTTTTCCACATTTTTGAATAAAAGTTTCGTTTTCTTCATATTCATTTTGAAACCGGCCACTCTCCCAAACTCCTCTATTTTTATTAGCCAATTATGTAGATTTTTACCAGGATCCTCAATTGTTCCTAACAAATCATCCGCAAAAGCCCGTATTTTATATTCAAATCTGCCAATTTTCACTCCTTTAATATTTTCGTCCTCTCTAATTTTCTTCATTAGGATCTCAACTGCCATTATAAAAATCAATGGAGACAGTGGGCAACCTTGTCTAGTACCCTTTGAAATCTCGAATTCTTGCGTCATTTGTCCATTTATTTTCACTTTAGCTTTTTGGTAGTTATAAATTGCATTAATTGCATTATTGAATTTTTCTCCCATGTCCAATTCTTGTATTAATATCTTAAAGAAATCCCAATTTAGATTATCAAACGCTTTCTCAGCGTCTATTGATAAGATTGCAAATTCTTTTTGATGATTCATCTCACAATATTCCAGGAGGTCTAGGACGTTACGGATGTTTTCTTTCATATATCTATTTGGTAAGAATCCTGTTTGCTCTTCTCCAATCCATTCACTTAGAAATGTTTTTAATCTTGTGGCCATAATATTCGCAAATATTTTGTAATCCGTGTTTAAAAGAGAGATCGGTCTATAATTTTTAATATCAGTTTCTGGGGATCCTTCCTTATGTATTACTGTAATTTCAGCTTCCTTCCATGAGTCTGGTATTTTCTGATATTTCATCGCATCATTTACAATGACTTTAAGTATTGGTATTAAATGCTGTTTGAAAGATTTGTAAAAGCCCGCCGTAAACCCATCCGGCCCTGGGGCTTTATCTGCATCCATTTTATTAATTGCTTTTTCTATTTCCTCCTCCGATATCTCTTTATTCAATAATTCTCTGTCCTCANTTTCCTCCTCTGATATCTCTTTATTCAATAATTCTCTGTTCTCATCTGTTATTTTATTTAGCTTCATTTGGCCAATATATTCCATAATATCTTCTTTCAATATCTTGTCTTTTGAATATAATTGACTGTAAAATTTTCTAAATTCCTCTATTATTTCTTTATCCATCCTTAAATCCCTCTCTTTAGTAATTATTTTGGATATATGATTTGTCTGTCTTTTTTTCCGTATCCGATTTGCTAGCCATTTCCCTGGTTTATTCGCGTTTTCAAAAGACTGTTGCTTTAAAAACTTCATTTGTCTAGCCTGGAGTTCTAACTCCACACGGGTTTTCTCTTGTTTTAATGCCACCAATTTTCTCTCTGTTTTTTTCTCTGGTCTCTTTTTTAATTCCAATTCCTTGGCTGCTATTTCACCCACTAATTCATTTATTCTTTTATTCCTTTCTCTATTTTTCCTTGATCCTTGTTGTATGAAGTGTCCTCTCAAAACTGCTTTAAGGGTGTCCCACACCACCTGTGGGTCCATGTCTTCCAAATTATTTATTTGTAAATAGTCCTTAATTATCTTCTTGTAATATTCTTTATCCGACTCTGTTTTTATTAAGTTCTCATTCAATCTCCATTTTCTGCAATGATTTTTATGGTTAATGAAGATTTCGAAGGGGCAGTGGTCCGACAGGTCTCATGGTAGAATATTAATTTCCTTCACTTTGGCAGAGAGCTTCCTAGTTATCCATGCCATATCAATCCTAGACCATAACTGATGTCTATTTGAGAAGAAAGTATAGTCTTTTTTATCTTTATTTCTATTCCTCCATACATCTTCTAAATCAAATTCTCTTTGAAGTTCCATAAATTTTTGTGGTAACATACCTTCCTTTGTTTTTCTCTTCTTCACACTTTTATCCATTTGGTAATCAATTACCCCATTAAAGTCTCCTACCAAGATCATATCGTCAAATTCCACTTCTTTCAATTTGGAATTTAGGAATTCAATGAATTTTAACTTTGGGCCATTTGGGGCATAGATATTACAAATCAAAATTTTCGAATCTCCAATTATTATCTTTACTGCCACGCACCTTCCCTCCAAATCTCTAAAAGCCAATTCTGATTCTATTATTTCTTT